GGCGCCTTTCCCTGCCCCGCTGAGCAGAAGGAGACAGACTCTCGGCCCCAGCGTCCCTCAAGTGTCTGTCCATTCGCCCATCGCTGTCACAGCCGCAGGCTTCGCGAGAGTGGCCAGAGCCCGTGATCCTGGCCGCAGAGGGTCACAGGGGCCACACCTGTCACGGGGATCACCACCCGGGTGATGCGAGCGGTGATTTAAGCGGCTCCTGATTCACGGCCGGGGGCGTAGACCGTCTGTTTCCGGCAGCTGACTTGAGACACAATGCGTCCGACACAGAGATTTACTCCGAGGACGCCGTGCCAGACACACAACTCCAGGCCCCGACCCCGGCGCGGCCCCTAATAAAGCTGCTGTCAGCCGGCCGCCTCGGTCATCTGGGCGGTCAGCAGTCCCGCGTGGTTTGAGTGGCCGGGGGCTGTGGGACAGTGGGGCCAGGCAGGCAGCACCGGCTGGGTCTGAGGAGCAGGCAAGGGCTTGGCATGGGCCTGGGCACATGAGCCTCTCCGTGAGGACCCACAGGCGTGCTGTGGATGGGACCCCACACCCAGACGCCCTGGCCGCCGGCCCCCACAGATGCCACCGTCAGCCCCAAGGGGGCGTCTCCCTGTCCTGGAGAAAGGGTGAGAGGACCCACTCAAGTCCCGAGGAGTGCCACGCAGACCCCCTGGACCCAGGGTGGCCCGGCCAACCCTGCCCTGCGGTCCACAGGCCACAGGTCCCCTCGGGCACTGCCAGGGGCCCCCGAGACCTGGAAGGTGACCCTGGGGGCTGTGAGGAGCAAGTGGGGGTGCGAAGGGCTGGCTGGCGGCTGGGGCAGGGGTGGGAAGGGGAAACCAGGAAGTGGGGTGATTCCCAGCAGGCCCAGAGCCCCCAGAACTCCGCCAGGCGTGGGGAGGGCTCTCGCCTTGCACACGGCAACTCAGGTTTGATCCCAACACCCCAAGTGCCCCCAAGCCCGCCAGGAGTGACCTGAGCACAGAGCCAGGAGTCAACCCTGAGCATCGCCAGTCGTGGCCCAAAAGCCAAAACCAATAAGTCGAACTTCTCCTGGCCCCACAATTCACACTCTGCTCCCGAGAGGGCCTCCCTGGCGCAGTGAGAGATGGCCCCCTGAGGTTACTGCCTGTCTGTCTGTCCAAAGACTCAGCCAGTGACAAACAGCTCAGGAACCCTCCGAGACTCTGGCGACCTCATCGTGATAGAACGACTTCCCAAAATTTCTTTTACAACCAAAATGGTCACTTCACTTTCTACTTGGGTGTGACAAGCAACATAAAATAAATTATTATTATTTTTGCTTTTTTTTATTGAATCACTGTGGGGAAAGTTACAAAGCTTTCAGGTTTAAGTCTCGGTCATGCAATGCTCAAACACATTTCCCTTCACCAGTACTTATTTTTCACCACCAAGAACCCCAAGATGCCACTCTGTTTAACGTTCATTGATTTAGAGAAGGCCTTTGATTCTGTTGAGACGGAAGCGGTCATTGAAGCCCTAGCCAATCAGGGCATTCAAGCCCAATACATCAGGATCCTCCGTGAGCTGTATTGCGGATTCACTACCAGGATCTCACCATTCTACAAAGAAGTGATTGTTGATGTCAAGAGAGGGGTGCGGCAGGGTGATACCATTTCACCAAAACTCTTCGGTGCCACCCTCGAGAACATCATGTGACGACTGGAATGGGAAGGAATGGGAGTGAAGATAGATGGTCGGCAACTACACCACCTCCGCTTTGCTGATGACTTTGTTTTAATAACACCAAACATCAGCCAAGCAGCACAAATGCTGGCCGACTTTGACCGTGAGTGTGGAAAGGTAGGACTACAGCTGAATCTTACGAAGACAATGTTTATGAGAAACAGCCTCGTTCCTGATGCCCCATTCGCTCTCAATGGAACGACCATATCCGAATGCAACAGCTATGTGTACCTAGGTCGAGAAGTCAACATGACAAATGACCTGGCACCTGAGCTGCGCAGGAGGAAGAGAGCGACTTGGAACGCCTTCAAGAAAGTCGAAGAAACAGCTAAGAGGACGAAGAACCTCCGGCTCCGGGCACATCTCTTTGATTCCACTGTTCTTCCTGCATTAACATATGCCTCAGAGACCTGGGCCCTACACAAACAGGATGAGAAGGCTATTCAGGTCTCCCAAAGAAGAATAGAAAGAGCCATGCTTGGAATATCACGTTTCACTCAAATGAGAGAACGAATCTGGAGTTCTGACATCCGTCGACGATCAAGAATCAGGGACACTGTCTCGTTTGCCAAGGTGTCAAAAATCAGATGGGCTGGTCGCATAATGAGATTTAAGATGACCGCTGGACTAGAGCCGTTAATGACTGGATTCCACGGGATGTCAAAAGACTGCGTGGCCGCCCACCTACCAGATGGTCAGACTTCTTCATCAAGATCATGAACAATCGATTTGAGGCTCTTCGTGTTCCTAGAACGAACAGGAGCCATTGGGCTACACTAGCACGCGACAGGGACAAATGGAGACATTACTGGCGCCGCTCAAGCAAATCGACGATTAAAGGGAAGTCAAGTGATCAAGTGAGAGAGACTATAAAATCCAGCTCCCGGAACCGCGCGGCCGCATTTGCAGCCACGCAACATCTTATCAGGACATCTTTTTATGACATCTTATTATCTCATTCCTGGACACAGCGGGTAGGGCGTTCGCCTTACAAGCGGCCAACATGGCTGACCCGAGTTCGATTCCTCCGCCCCTCTCGGAGAGCCCGGCAAGCTACCGAGAGTATTCGATATGCCAGACACAGTAACAACAAAGTCTCCAATGGAGATGTTACTGGGCCCGCTCGAGCAAATCGACGATCAACGGGAGGGCCTTATTATCTCATTCCTACTTTGGACAAATTTGCAGGCTATCGAATGTAGCCTGCCCACAGGGCAGAGTCTGGCAAACTCCCCGTGGCGTACCCAATATGCCAAATACCAGTAACAATGATGGGTCTCATTCTCCTAAAGAGCCTTGAATATAATCTCAGGGCTAGGATGAAAGAGACGTTACTGGGGCCTGCTCGAGGCAATCGACGAATAACAGGATGATGAATGAATGAATGAAAAAGTGATCAAGTGATTAAGAACCCCAATATACCCCCCTCCGACCCCTCCCAATGCCTGTGAGGCAGATGAATTCTAGTTAACACTCTATCTACTTTGATTAGATTCATTGTTTCGACAAAAGATGCACCATTATTATTTAGAGTTTATACCCCCAAATCAGACATGCTGAAAAGGCATTGTGAAACAATTTGTTTTCTACAGCTGGTTACAAGAATCAAATGATGTCGTGCAGCCACTATTGCGGCCGCGCGATTTTGGATTTCTTAATTTTTTTTTTCTTTTTGGGTCATGCCCGGGGATGCACAGGGGTTCCTCCTGGCTCTGCACTCAGGAGTTACTCCTGGTGGTGCTCAGGGGACCATATGGGATGCTGGGAATCGAACTTGGGTTGGCCGCCTGCAAGGCAAAAGCCCTACCTGCTGTGCTATCTCTCAGCCCCTACAATAAATTATTTTGTGCCCACCAAGGGGACAGATGGGGGGGAACGGGGGACAACAGTAGTGGGAAGGTCACCTGATAGTGGGATTTGTGTGGGAACATGGGACATTGGAACAATGAAACAACTGAGTATGAACAACTTTGTAAACCAGGTTTTTATTATTTTTTTTTCTTTTTGGGTCATACCCGGCAATGCGCAGGGGTTACTCCTGGCTCTGTGCTCAGGAATCACCCCTGGCGGTGCTCAGGGGACCACATGGGATGCTGGGAATCAAACCCAGATTTGCCGCGTGCAAGGCAAATGCCCTACCCACTGTGCTGTTGCTCCAGCCCCGTAAACCCGGTTTTTAAAAAAAATCAGGAAAAACAATGAAGCGAATAAATGAAAAGTGCTGTGTGTGAGTACGCTGTGTGTGTGTCTGAGTAAGGTTTGGGGTACATGTGGGGTGCATGTGCGGGCTGTGCATGTATGTTGTGTGTCTGTGTCTCTGTTGTGTGTCTGTTGGTCTGAGGTATGTGTGGGGTGCATACATGGGTCATATACATGTGTGTGGCTGGTTCATACACACTGTGTATGGTGTGTGTGCATGTTACGGTGTGTGTGTGTATGTGTGTGTGTGAGGGGGAACTCTGGGCCCAGAGGGGGGAGCCACGTTGAGCTTGGGAGGGTCCCACGGACTCCACAGATTGTCTCCCGTCCCTCCCTTTTGTGTGTTTGGGGGCCACCCCGGTGCTCAGGCGTGCTCCTGGCTCAGTGCTCGGGGACAGTATCGGGTGCTGGGGCTGTACTTGCTGGACGCCTGACTCTCCGCGTCGTTTCCCGCCCCCCGCTTGGACACCGACGTCCCGGCTGTGTTTCTTGTTTTCGGCGTCTGGCCCACACCCGGTGCCCAGGGCTGGCTCCCGGCCATGCTGGGGCCCCGCGGGACGAGTTCCTGCCTCTTATCTGTCCAGCCCAGCTGCTCCCGTCCTAACGCCCGTGCTGATCTGGAACCTTCCAGACCGGCTTGTGGGGTGGGCCTGAGGGCATGGAGGCCCAGGCTGGGGCCAGTGGGGTGTGGAGGCACGGACCTGCGAAACGGGCCCCGGGGCCGAGAAAGGACACTCGCCCACAGACATGTGTCCTGCGGCCTCTTCTCTCCTCTCCGGGCTGAGGGTCACAAGCCCACAGCCCACGCCACACTCAGCCCGGCCAGGAGCACGTGTGGAGGAGCCCGTGTCACATGTGGAGTGGTCTGTGTCCTGGGTGGGGTGCCCTGAGTAATGAGTGGAACAGCCTGTCTCACATGTGGAACAGCCTGTGTCGTGTGTGTAACGGCCTGTGTCCGTGTGGAGTAGCCCGTGTCTGCGTTGCATGCCCCCGTATCCCGTGTGGCATGCCCGTATCTGTGTGGTATGTCCTGTGTCTGTGTGGGGTGCTCGTGTCTGTGTGGCGTGTTCGTGTCTGTGTGGCGTGCCCTGTATCCCATGTGGCATGCCCATGTCCATGTGGTGTGCCTGGCGTGGTCCGAGGCCATCAGCATGAGCTGCCCTGGACATGAGGAACACAGGGGTGCGACTCGCTCCCGCCTCAGACCATTGCCTCAGTGCCCAGCGGGGGCTGCGCTCACTAATTCATGTGTCAGCTCCGCGCCAGGGACTCGCCTGCACGCAGGAAGCCGCTGCCAAGGCCCCCTTCCCTCCCTGCCAGCCCACGCCGAGTCCCCGGGAAGGGAAGGGCGTATGTGCTGCCCTGTGGCAGCGTCTCGGGACCTGGACGCCAAGTCCTGTGCCCAGCCCAGCCAAGACACCAGCTTGGGGTAGGGGTGGGCCTGGCACTGTTATCTCTCTACAATGGTGATGCCTTCCTGAGGAAGAGTCTAGAATGATGACCCTGGGAAGCACTTGTGCGGTCCTGCACACACGCCTGCACACACACGTACGCATCTATGTGTATAAGTGTGTCACGGGTCTACCCACATGTGCATACACATGTGCTTTGCACATCTGCCCACGTGTACATGCGCATGTGTGTGTGTGTGTGCACGCAGATGTGTGTCCACACGGACACGCACACACATGTCTGTCTTTGCTCTGTGTGTGGTGGTGTGCAGTGTGCAAACGTGCATGTTCCTGTGTGTACCCCGGGGCGTTTGCTGCAGTGCTGAATCCAGTGGGCAGATTCGGGGGTTTCGCATCGACCCAAACGCTGCCCGTTCGACAGAGGGAAGCCCACAGGGCTGAGACAAGGCAGCTTCCTCCCTGAGACCCACACACACGTCTGCCGGAGCCCGGCTCTGACCCAGACAGACCCAAGGCTGGTGCTGCAGACACATCATGGCAGGCAGAGAAGGGCAGAGGCCGACTGTCTGTTCGCGGGGAGAGCCCCGTGGCTGCTGCCTTTCACAAGGCACCTATGGAAACTTCCCCGTTTTATGACGGGCCACGTTAGTTCTGTCTGGGAAAGACAGTGTCTGAAATTAATAAGGCACCAGGGGGAAAAACGTCTGTGAACCCAGACTGGAGAGGCAACACCGGGACACCGCACTTGCCTTGTGCCGCTGACCCCGCTCTGAGTCCTGGCACCCCGGGGCCCCCAGCACCTCCAGCGACGGGCCCTGAGCACAGAGCGGGGAGTCAGCTGAGCACTGCAGGCGCGGGGAGCCCTGGGGGCCGGTGACAGCCAGCGCGCCTTCAAGGCGTTGGAGGAGGCGAGCACGGGAACGAGGTCCTGAGCCCGGGGTGGACCCCAGAGCTGCTGCCCACCCAGGGGCAGCGTCCACCGCTGCGGGCCGGGCTGGGCTGCGCTCCCACAGCCGCGACCAGCAGCCCCAGACCGCACGCCCGGTTCAGCCCAGTCCGGTCCCGTCCAGCCCCCAGGACACCTGCAGAGCCGGTGTCCAGGCAAGGCCAGGCTGGGCTCGGATGCGGCTGCACCGCCGCCCTCCCGCCGGCAGGGGGAGCCCGCGCCGCGCCGCGCCGCCGCCGCCCGCCCGCGCGCCCGCGCCGCCGCCCTCCGGCCGGCAGGGGGAGCCCGCGCCGCGCTGCCCCGGAAGTCCCGCCCCGCCCCGCCCCGCCCCGGAAGTGGGCGCGCGGCGATGGCGGCGCCCAGGGGCGCACGGGGCCGGGGCGGCGGGGCGCGGCGGCGGCGGGGCGCGGGCGCGGGCGCGGGGCCGCCGGGCCGGCTGCGGCTGGCGGTGCGGGAGCTCGTGCGGGCCGCCCCGCAAGGCGGCGGCGCGGGGGCGCGGCGGGAGGCGCGGGGGCGGCCGCGCGGGAGGGACCGGCGCGCGCTGCGGAGGGAGAAGCGGCGCCTGCGGAAGGCGCGGCGGGCCGGGGGCGCGGGGGGCGGCGCGGGGACCCCCGGGGGCGCCGGGGGCACCGAGGGCGCCGGGAGCACGGGGACTCCCAAGAGCGGAAGGAGCGCCGGGAGCATCGCGAGCACCGGGAGCACCGGCACCCCCGGGAGCACCAAGACCGCCCCCAGCGGCAGGACCCCCGGGAGCGCCGGGAGCAAGAAGACTCCCAGGAGCGGCGGCGCGACCCCCGCGACCCCCGCGACCCGCGCGACCCCCGCGACGGCCGCCGCCCGCAAGCGGGCCCTGCTGGCGGCCAACGCGGAGGAGGAGCGCGAGATCCGCAGGCTGGAGCGCCGCCTCGGGCTGGCCAAGCGCCGCAGGAGGGACGCCCCCCAGGCGGTGCCCCCCGGCTTCGCCCGCGACGGGCTCGACTACGTCCTGGGGGTCCTGGGGCCCGGCCCGGGCTGCGGCCTCTACGGGGACAGCGAGGACGAGGAGGAGAAGGGGCGGCAGGGGGGCGCCCACCGCGCGCTCCTGGACGGCGGCCCCGAAGACAGCGGGGACGGAGGGGAGGACAGCGACCACGAGGACAGCCGGGAGGACAGTGGGGAGGACAGCGGGCAGGAGGACAGCGACCACGAGGACAGCGGGGAGGACAGCGGGCAGGAGGACAGTGGGGAGGACAGCGACCACGAGGACAGCGGGGATGGAGGGGAGGACAGTGGGCAGGAGGACAGCGACCCCGAGGACAGCGACCACGAGGACAGCAAGCTGGACACTGGCCCAGGGCCCGGGGCCCAGAGCCAGAAGCTGCAGAAGGAACCCCACGGAAACCCCGGGGAAGCCCCCCGGCCCCGGCCCGCCCGGAGAGTTCGTTTTGCAGACGAAGACCAGGGGAACAGCTTGGAGGACGGGGCCCCCAAAGACCAGGTACCCTGGGGGACCTGACGTGTGGGGTGACTGCCAGCTGCCGGCGCGGGGAGGGGTCGGTCCTGGAGGGAGGCTGTGACCTCAGCCTGGGCATGGTGGGGTAGGGGTGGGGGAGGTTCTGCTGAGAGGCGCCGAGGGCTGCTTCATGCTTGACGCTGATGGGGGGAGGGGGTGCCCCTGGAGGACGGTCCTGCCGGTGGCTGAATGACTGACCGGGTCCTTCCCGCAGACTCTCTCTGGGAATGACGAAAAGTACGTCCCGCCCGCCGTGAGACGGGCAGCAGAGAGGGCGGATGCCCAGAAGCAGGAGGAGCTGGACAGGCTGCGGAAGCGGGTCACGGGCCTCGTTAACAGGTGAGCAGCCGGCGGCAGAGGCAGCACCAGGGGGTGACTCCCGAGGGCAGGCCACGGAAGCCTCTGAGCATCACAGGTGTGATCCCAGACAGAACCAGACGAGCTGCAGAGGGGCCAGTGGGCATCGGCGGGTGTCCCTGGGGATGGGCACTCCTGGCACCCGCCTGCAGGTCTCCGAGGGGCTCACCTCCAAGGCTTTCAGCCTGGCCAGCCCTGGGCTGCCCTCGCTCCTGCTCGCCAGAGCGACACTTCCCGGGAGGCCCCGTGCAGCGTCACAGACACCTTTTCCCGGGGGAAGGGAGAAGCTCCTGTGGCAGCAGACAGAGCGGGCGGTCTCCCGGAGGCGAGCCCCCATGGCGGTCGGCTGACCTGGGCTGTGTCTGTCCCGCCGGCCCCTAGGCTCAGCGAACCCAACGTGGCGTCCATCAGCGCGCAGCTCGAGGAGCTGTACATGGCCCACAGCAGGAGGGACGTGAGCGCCACGCTGACCGAGGCCCTGCTGCGCGTGTGCGCCCCCGACACCGCCGCGCCCAGCCGCCTGCTGCTGGAGCACGTCCTCCTGGTCAGCGTCCTCCACTGCACCGTGGGCATCGAGGTGCGCGCCCCGCCCCTCCCCGCGCGCTGCCCGCCGGCCCACCCGCCGCGCACGCAGCCTGCGGGACCCGCCGTCCGTCCGTCCCCCCCAGGTGGGCGCGCACTTCCTGGAGGCCGTGGTGCGGAGGTTCGACGCCGCGTACCGGGCGCGCACGCCGGGCAAGGAGTGCGCCAACCTGCTGAGCCTCGTGGCGCACCTCTACAACTTCCGCGTGGTGCACGCGCGCCTGGTCTTCGACGTGCTGCGCCGGCTCTTGGACGCGTTCTCGGAGCAGGACGTGGAGCTGGTGCTGCTGGTGCTTCGGGCCGCGGGCTTTGCGCTGCGCCGCGACGACGCCCTGGCGCTGAAGGAGCTCATCGCGGAGGCCCAGCGCAAGGCCGGCGGCGCCGACGCGCGGCTGCAGGAGCAGAGCCGGGTGAGGCAGGCGCGGCGGGGTGGGCAGTGGGCTTGGGGACGTGGCCCGGGCTGACGCCGCCCCCCCCAGGTGCGCTTCATGCTGGAGGCCATGCTGGCCCTGAAGAACAACGACGTGCGCAAGGTCCCGGGCTACGACCCCGAGCCGGTGGAGCGGCTGCGGAAGCTGCAGAGGACCTTGGTGAGTCCGCGGGGCCTGGCCGAGCCGGACACGAGCCTGGGGCGGGGGAACCCTCGGCCTCACGCCCCGCCCGCACCCGGCAGGTGCGCAGCACCGGCTCGGACACGCAGCTGCGTGTCTCCTGGGACAACATCCTCCACGCCGAGCAGACCGGGCGCTGGTGGATTGTGGGGTCTGCGTGGAGCGGGGCCCCCATGATCGAGGACAACGCCCGGGAGAGCCCCCAGAAGCCACAGGCAGGAACGGTAGGACCCTGGCACGTTCACTCCTACACGGAGTAGGCACGGACACACACAGAGACACGCGTATAGACACACAGACGTACACACGGATGCACACACACAGATATACACACACACACAGGCTTCTGTGGAAACCTTAGCTTGGCCGTGTCTGCCCGTGATCTGGCCAGCTCAGTGTTTTGGGGGCTGTGTCTCAGTGGTGTCGGGGTACACGCAGTGCCCGGGGCTGACCCCGGCCTCCCAGCCCACAGCTCTTCTCTCCGTCCTAGAAGGATCCCTTCTTTGGGAGTTTTGTTTGTTTTCGATGTGGGGGCCACACCCGGCAGTGCTCAAGGGTTGCTCCTGGTGGGCTCCGGGGACCACACAGGGTTGGTTGCATGCGAGGCAAATGCCCTTGCCGCTGTCGCAACGCCCTGGCGCCCCTAGAGGATTCTCAGAGCGCCTGGACAAGGGCCACATGGCCCCGAAGTGAGGGAGCGTCGCGTGGGCTCTGCAGGGCCCAGCGCCCGCCCCTCCACGAGGCTGCATTTAGCGGGGCGGTGGCCAGTCCACAGCGGGTTCTGCGTTTCTGGTCGTGGGGCCGTCACAGTCACTGCTGGGGGTGGGGGGCCCATCGTGTCCCGCCCCTGAGTTCTCCCAGGAGCCCCCCTGGCCCCGGGGCTCAGTGCTGGGGCCGTGTGTCCAACGCCCCCCGCCGCAGGTCAGCGCGGCCATGCTGGAGCTGGCCCGGAAGCAGAGGATGAACACGGACGTCCGGAGAAGCATCTTCTGCACCCTGATGGCCAGCGAGGACTTCCTGGACGCCTTTGAGAAGCTGCTCAGGTGAGTGGGCGCCGCCTCTCTGTTGTGGCACTGGGCCAGCGCCCCATCCTGCTGGGCACCCTGGCCCGGCAGGTGGGCGGTGGCCAGTGACCGGCTGGGGGCCGTTGTGTTGGCGCCCAACCTCCAGGCAACGGCTGGCGGGGGCTGGGGGCCACGTGCTTTGCCCGGCCGGGTGCCCCTGCTGACCACCTCCCTGTGGTGCTGCTCTGCCCTCCTCAGCCCTGGGGCAGCGCAGCCAGGCGTGGGGGCCTGCAGGAGGCTCGCGGCCACCCTGAGCGCCAGACCGAGGGACCCCAGGCCTCCCACGCAACTGAAAAGGAGCTTGAGTGTTCCCTGTGCTCAGTTCTGGGCATTCCCGCCTGCCTGGCCACTCCTTGTGGGCTCCTGTCCCCGAAGGAGCTGGCCCTCCCCACTGCCTGCCCGCTGTCTCCCCGCCCTCCTGGGGCCCTGTACCTGTGCCAGAGTCTTCCTGGCCTGAGCACCTCTTGTTACCAGGACTGTGCCCCCGGGGGGGTCTCCCCTCTCCCCCGCTCCCTCCCCCCCAGGTCTTGGTGCTCAGGACTGGGGGCCCTGCTGGGCAGAGCTGCCGCCAAGGACACCCCCACGTGCCACAGACCGGCGGCTGCACCTCGCCTCAGTGCAGGAATCGGAGGGGCTGCTGGGGCTCCCTCGTGTCCACACATGCGCACGTTCACACATGCACATACACACGCTCACGGTCACGTACTCTCACCTGTCCCTTCACATGCACGCGCACACACGTGTCACATGCGCACGCCCCCGCCCGCTGCATGCTGAGCTGCGCGTGTTGCAGGCTGGGCCTGAGGGAGCAGCAGCTGCGGGAGGTGGCGCACGTGCTGCTGGACTGCTGCCTGCAGGAGCGCACCTACAACCCCTTCTACGCCCTCCTGGCCGCCAAGCTCTGCGCCCACGAGAGGCGCCTGCAGGTGACCACCCCCCCGGCCGCGGGCACGGGCTCCCCGGCGGGCCCCCGCCTCACTCCCTCTCCCTCCCGCCCCCCCAGATCACTTTCCAGTTCAGCCTCTGGGACAAGTTCCGGGACTTGGAGAATTTGCCGGCCACCAACGTGTCTAATTTGGTCCAGCTGGTGGCCCACCTCTTGAAGACCAAGTCGCTCCCGCTCTCCATCCTGAAGGTGGGTCTCCGGCGGACGTCAGCCGTGCCGTGGAACACGGTGTGACGCCTGACTGACCGGCCCTGGGCGGTTCCCCTGGGGCTTCCAGCGCCCTTGGGTGCTGCCCTGTGCGCACCGTCCTCGCCTGGATCGGGCAGCACCTGCCTCTGCGTGCCCTGTCCAGCCGCTTCCTCCCAGAGTCCTGTGGCCATCTGCTCCCATTCAGGGTCTGTGTGACTCTGCACACCCCCGTCAGCTCCCTGTGTGGTCACTGGGAAGTCACGACCTGTTTTTGTGTTTTGGGTCACACCCGGCGATGCACAGGGGTTCCTCCTGGCTCTTCACTCAGGAGTTACTCCTGGCGGTGCTCAGGGGACCATATGGGCTGCTGGGAATCGAACCCAGTTCGGCCGTGTGCCAGGCAAGCTCCCTACCCGCCGTGCTATCGCTCCAGCCCCAGTCCCGGCCTTATAGCCTGGAGAGCGTTTGGTCTCATCCTAGAGTGTTCCGGGGTGGGGGCTTTGCGGGGCAGGGTTGTCCCTGCCAACACCGTGCCCTGAAACGGGAGGAACGGGGCCAGGCACAGTCCCAGCACTGGGGACACAGCCTGAGGACAAAACCGAAACGGTCTGCGCAACGTGGGCAGGGGCCACGCCGGACATGGGGCGGCGCTTAGAGCTCGCCGGAAAGGGTCCCGCCAGGACCTCTGCCCGCCCCCCACAGGTGGTCGAGTTCAGCGAGCTGGACAAGCCCAGGGTGCACTTCCTGCGGAAGCTGCTGTCCATGCTGCTGGTGGACACGGAGCCCGAGGACCTGGCGGCCATCTTTACCAGGTGAGTGCCCACCGGGGCAGCGGGGGCGTGGACGCGCCCGCCGGCCCCGCCTGACCGGGTGCTGCCCCCTCCAGGCTGTCGGACAACCCGAAGCTGGGGGTCCTGCGCGAGGGCCTGAAGCTCTTCATCGGCCACTTCCTGCTGCGGCCCGGGAGGGCGCTGCCGCCCCAGGAGGCCGCGCTGCTGCGGGAGAGAGCCGAGCTCAGCACGCGGGCGCTGCAGGGCCGGGCGGCGCTGAGGATGTAGCGGGCAGCCCGTGCCCTCTGGTGCCCGGGAGGAGGATGGGCGCCACGCCCCCAGACGCCGCATCTGTGGACTGCGAGTGTCGGCCCCAGCCCCGGGCCGGCAGCTGGAGGTGCCCGGGGTCTGGGCGCCCGAGGCCCAGCAATAAAGCCCCTTGGCCCCGCCCCGCTCTGCTGCTCCTGTCTGGCACTCTGAGCTCCACGGGCGGCTGTGCATGTCCTGGGGCGGGCGTTGGCTTGTGGGGAATGTGCACCCTCGTGCCGGGCTCTCCCCTGTGGAGGCGGCAGGGTCGGCGGCTCCCAGGCGATGTTAGGGAATGGGCCGGAGCGACAGTAGGTGGGGAGGGCAGGCGACTGACCTGGGTTCAGTCCTGTGTGGTCCCGAGGGCAGAGCTGGAGTGAGCCTTGAGTGTCTCCCAACGTAACCCAGGACCCCCCCCCACCCCCGAGCATCCCAGCCGCTGAGCTCAGCAGCTGACCTGGAGCAGGGGGCTCTGGCCTGAGCTCTGACAGGGGTCGACCCCCAGCACCCAGAGGGTCTCCCAAGCCCACAGAGTGACCCAAGCACAGCTGGGTGTGACCTGAGGACCCAAAAGCTGTTCAAAGGCCGACACTGTTCCGGTGAGCTCGGCCCCGTCAGAAGGCGGCAACAGTCTTGAGCAAACAGCGAACGTCGCTGAGACGTGGGGGCCACGGGGCCAGGGGCTCCCACTCAGGCTCCCGTGGGTGACTCGAGCCCCCAGCGGCCCCTGCAGGCGGGGACGGCCAGGGGAGGCACGAAGGGGCACCGCGGAGATGCGGGTCCCGGGGCCAGGTGGGAGGAGGGCAGGCCAGGCCCACCCGCCGGCCTCGGAAGGGTTTCGAGGGACCCACAACTCAGCGAGGGTCCCACTGCCAGGATGCCCCAGCCACTGCCCAGCCGCCCTCCGCGTCCACAATGGCTCTGTCCTGTGTCCTGCGAGCCCCGGGCCGAGGGAGGCTGGTGAGTGCTGTGGAGTCTGGGTTTGAGAAGGTTCTAGACCGCCTGAGGCAGCCTCGGGGCGAGAAGCGCCTTCGGAATGTGGAGGTGCCCCCCGGGGGCCCCCTCCCGTCACAGGCCCTGGGGCGGGTTCCCAGGGGTGACCTTGGCCCTGTGAAAAATGCTGTTTGCCCAGGGCTGATGAAAGGGCTGGCGCCTGACAGGACTGGCCCTGGGCCCCGTCAGCCCCTGCGGACCCTCTCCCCCCTCCCCCGCAGCCTCCCGGCCCTCCGTGGGGGCTTCACACAGGCACAGGACGCCCAGGTGTGAGGTGCCCCCAGACAGTGACCAGCACCCACTCCCAGACACCCCCTGGGCTTGGAGCATCTCCAGCTGTCAGTGCCCCAGGGCCGCAGGCCACACCCAGCCCTTGGGGGGGCGAGACCCCAGGAAGCTCGGGGAGGCTGCCCGGGCCCCCCACTCACCACTACTAGCGCGTTCGGGGTCTCTTCCCCAGGGCTTCTCTGCAAAGCCCACCGCACACGGGGCTCAGTGCAGAGCGGGCACCTTCTCCCACCCCCCTGTGGGGGTACAGCCCAGCCGCCCCCTTCGTGGGGGGACGAGCCGCAGGACCCTTCAAACAGCCTCTCCTGGGGTCATTGTTGGCTGGACCCCAACTCTGACCAGGTGTCTGCTCTGTGGGGCCCTGAGGTTTTCATGGGCGTGGGTGATCTGTCGGGGGCCCAGGACCATGGGGGTCCAGTCAGGGTGATGGAATCCACCGGGGGGACCTGAGACTGTGGGAGCCTTTTAGGACGACAGGGTCCCCCCGCACTCGGGGAGCCACCCGGGGACCCGGGACTGTGACACCCCCCCCCCCCCCCCCCCCCCCCGTGCTGGGCTGTCTCTGCTCTGGGCAGTGCCACTGTCACTGTCCCCACAGCCCCTCCTCGGGCCCAGCGGCTCCCCAGACTCCTAAACTTTGGGGGCCTCCGTGTCCCGGGCCTGGCCCCCCGGGAGGCCCGGCCTAGCTGCTCCCCCGCGGCCCCGGTGGAATAATGTAGCGCTTTGTTGGCTGATGAAGGCAGAACTGCCGCATCACCTGAGATTAGGGGGCAGCTGGGCGCTGGCGACATTTATGAGTAAATAGAATTTGTCTCTGTTCTCAGATTAGGAGGGTCAGGTGGTTTAACCCGCGGGGCGCTCAGGGGCCTGGAGGCTGGGAAAGAAAACACCGGCACCATTAAAAGCAAATTACTGCTTCCTGAAGATGCCGGCCCGCCCAGGTCGGGGGCGCCCGTGGCCCCGGCTCCCGGCCGGCCCGCACAGCTAAGAAAAAGGGGCCTGGGCAGCGAGGACCGGCCTTTCTGATGGGCCGAGGGTCAGTGTAGGTGCTGGAGAGAGAGTGTGTGTGTGTGTGTGTGGGGGGGGGGGGGGATCTGAAGAATGTTTGTGGAGAGTGGGGTGTGTATGTCACCTGGTGTGTGTTGTGTGTGTGTGTGTGTGTGTGTGCGTGCTGCAGTGTGTTGCCTGCAGAGTGAGTGTGCGTGACCAGTGAGTGTGTGTGTGCCCTGCTGAGTGGGTGTGTCACCTACGGAGTGGGTGTGTGTCACCCGGTGTGTGTGTGTGTGAGACCTGGAGAGAGGTGTGTATGTCACCTGGTGTGTGTGTGTGCTGCAGTGTGTCACCTGCAGAGTGAGTGTGCGTCACCAGTAAGTGTGTATGTGTGTGCCCTGCCGAGTGGGTGTGTCACCTACAGAGTGGGTGTGCGTCACCCGGTGTGTGTGGGGGGAGGGGGTTCTGAAGAATGTGTGTGTGTGACCCGGAGAGTGGGGTGTGTGTGTGTATGCGCGTGCTGCCAAGTAGGTATGTCACCCTGAGGGGGCATCTGGCCTGCAGGAGACCCAGCGCGTGATGATGATGAGCTCACGAGAGTGCCGGAACCCAGGGCTGCACCCCTGCTCTGTGCGCCCACGGCAGTGCGCAGTGGCCCCAGCTGTGCGGTTTGTCCTTCCCGATGCCACAGCCGAGTGCTGCTCACAGCAGAGCAGAGAGGCCGGAGTCCCGGGCCCCCTGCCAGGAGGGGGAGGGATCCCCTGGGTTGCCAGACCGGGTGCGGGGTGAGGCTGGGGGTCCCGGCACGGATGTGTGAGAACCAGGCAGCTGAGACCTGAGCTCCTGCCCACGGTGCAGGCGAGGGAACTCCCCGCTGTTCCCGAGGCCGGGCACGGGCGCCAGCGACTCCTGGGGCACCTGGCAGAGGGCGGGCAGCAGCAGCAGGACTGACCCCAGCCTCAGAGCAGGGGGGCACCCAGGACCCAAGCACTCCCTGCGCTGTGGGGGAGGGGCGGGGTTGGACGCCGAGGCCCGGTCACTGGTCCCCGGGGCACCCACAGGCAGCCCCGCATTGGACCTCCCCTGGGCGGCCAGTGCCGGGGTCCCAGGCTGGGGCCGGGGGATGCCGGGGAGGCCCCTGCCTGGCAGAGGTGGCCTGTGTCTGTCTGCCAGGCGGGACTGTTCCCCAGCAATGACTTTATTTCTAAAACAGGGAGCCCAGGCCTGTGTGAGCCGGGCCTGTCGGCTCCTCCTGCTGCCCCGCCCCTCGCACCCCTGCGACCCTCCTCCTCACGGCGGGGTGCCCCAGCTGCCCCCTCAGCTGCGGAACCTGCCTCTGGGGTCTGCCTGTGTGAAGCGGGGACAGACTCCCTGGGGCCTGGAACCTGCCGGCTCTTGGCAGGAGGCAGCTAAGCCTGTGCGGGCGTCCGGCCAGCGGCCAGCGGCTGCTGCCCCTGGTGTCTGCGAGCAGCGCCCACCCCGCCGTCCCTCGCGCCTCCCGCCCTGCCCCCACCCTCCCCCCGGGTCCCGAGGGCACTGCGCCTGGGGGCGGGGCTCAGGGGCCCGGGGAGCCGACGGGTCACCGCGTCCCCACGGGGGTCCCACCTGAGGGGCTGCCCTGGCCTGCGCCCCCCACCTGACCCCACAGGAGATAAGGCGGCACTTTGTTCTCCCCAGCTGGGTAAACGGGCCCTTTGTGCGGCCTCGGGGACAATGGCCGCGGCAGAGTACACACCAGGTGCGCGACCGGCCGGCGGAATGCAGGGTCCACGGCGGCCGCCCACCCGCCCCAGCCTCCGGGCCTGGAGGGCCACTGGGGGGGCAAGGACGCGGCCCGCTCGGCCCGGTGAGGTCCGAGACCCCAGCCCGGGCAGGTCTGGCGCCCAGGGCGGCTGGCAGGCTGGCACGGCAGCAGGGGGTGGGCACGGCTTCTTGAGGCCACCAGTTGGGGCCACACCTGGCACATCATAAAGTGATTTAAGAAGTGAAAGTGTGAGGGAGACCTGGGCTCTCTGAGTTTTATTGGGTGCCCTGTTAGGGAAATAAACTTTAATCGACGAGACAGAACTGCGGCCAGGCTGCCCTGCTGGCTGCGGGCTCGGGTCACACCTCCGGAGATTAGGGCTGCGGGGGCCACGCCCAGGGGAGCCGCCCCACCAGGCCTCTCGTTTCTATGGATCTGCTGCTTGTGTGGGCAACAGAGCAGGGGTGAGGCCAGCTGTTGGGCCAGCAGTTAACACAGCCCTGGGGAAGGAGGATGCCGCCTCTGGAGAGAGGAGGGGGGAGGGAGGGAGGGAGGGAGGAGAAAGAAACGAAGGAAAGAGAAAGAGAGAGAAAGGAGGGAGGGAGGGAGGAAAGAGAAAAAAGGGAAGAAAGGAAGGAAGGAAAGAGGGAAGGGAGTGGGGGAAAGGAAGGGAAGGAAGGAAGGAGAAAGAAGAAAGAGAAAGGGGAGGAAGGAAGAAAGGAAAAAGGGAGGGAGGAAAGAAAATAGGAAGGAAGGAAGGGAGGGAGGGAGGGAGGGAGGGCAGTGGGGGCTGGAGGACTCACTTTCGGCTCCCGCCTGCTCCCGCCTGGCGTCCCTTCAGCAGTTCTCAGGGTGTTGGGGTGCAGAGGCCCCGCTTGGCTTGCGGCAGCTGCCTGGGGCCTGGCGCACCCTCTGCGTGTGTGTCCGCCGGCCGACTCTGCCTGTCTCGAAGCCCGGCCTTCTGCTGGGCGTGAGCCCCCTTCTGTGGGTGGGTGTCCTGTTCTGCGGTCCCCTTCGCCCTTTCAGCCGACCTTCCGAGCCGACTCCAGGGTCTGGAGGCCGGGAAGTCCCGGCTGCTCCTGCTCCCAGGCTCCGCCGTGGTGCCCGCTCGGTCACCCACAGCCCTGGCCTCTAGGCCCGCGGGGCTGTGCAGGGTCCCGGGGAGGGGTGCAGGGCAGGGCCTGGGGGCCGTGAGTGGCTGAGGGGCCCCTGGGCTTGGGGCTGGGCCCCCAGGGAGGCAGCGAGGGACCTGGCGGCCAGCCGGCCACTCCTTCAGTGGAATGAATTGTTCGCTGTGCCCGCCCGCCTGCCCGCCTGGGCGGTGAGCACGAGCAGTGATTATATTTAAATTTGCTATAATTGATTTGGGGAAGCGCTCCAGCGACAAGAACGAATTGATCATTAAATTTATTAGCGAGATAAATTCCGCCGCGATTAAGCGTCTGGCTGGATCCCTGCTCGCCTCGGATCCCAGCGCCAAGCCCCGGGTGCCGGGGGCCTGGGCCCGGGGCACCAGCTGCCCCCAGCCTTGTCCGCCCCGCAGACACAGCCCTGTCCCGGGGCGCAGGGCTGGGGGCACCCCCAACCCGGGAGCCCTCCCAGCCCGAGGCGGAAGGACACACCCTCACGCCTGGGACCCCATGGAAGTGCCGCCCCACCTGCCTTCCCGTCGCACCCTCGGAGCTCGCCCGGCCCCCAAGGGCCTCTTTCTCGCCAGCTGCAAACCCACCCCGGGGCCCAGAGGCACCTTTGAACCCGGCCAGGCCTGCGCCCAGAAGCCGCGCCCCCCTGGCCTTGGCTGAGGCCGCTTTATGAGGGAGCAGGTGATAATGAGCTGCCAATGAGGGGATTAATCTCACCGGGTAATCACCCGAGAGGACCGGTCGTCGCTGGAACGCACTTCTCGGCAGGCAGGGAGGGAGCCGACCCGTGCGGGGAGGGCCGGGCACCCTCGCCTCGGCTCAGGGACGCCTTTGAGGCTGCGGGGTGGGCGAGGGGCGCCCCGGGCTTCGGCTCCACGAGCTCAAGTGGGGACCCGCAAAAACCGAATGGAAACGCATTGTGGGCACGCGGCAGGCCGCGGGGCCGGGCGCGAGGTCGGCGGAGGGGCCGGGCCACCGCTCGGCCGCCCTCACCGTGGGCATGGATGGTCGCGGCTGGCTCGCGGGCCCAGCGCTCACAGTCGCCAGTGAAAAAATAAAAATAAAAAAACCCAAAACGATTTATTCCACATTCCACCGCGGGCGATGGGAGAAGCTAAATAACTTAGCATGCATGGCAGCGGTCTTTATATATACATATAAATACAGTGTACAAAAATAAAAGCAGGTTCTGGGGCGCGCGCGTCCCGGGTCCCGCGTCGGCCGCGGGGCGCGTAACACTGTCGGGTCGCGGGCGCGGGGGACGCCCGGGTCGCGGTCCGCTCCGCTCGCCGGCCCGGTGACACCGAGACCGAGGCCCGGCCGGGCCCTACTGCGCGGACGGCGGCGGCGGCGGCGAGTCGGAGCCCGAGGAGCCGTCGGAGGCGGCGCGCGCGCCGGCGGCCCCGTGCGCATAGGGGAAACCGTCCTCGTCGTCGTCGTCGTCCTCGTCGTCCTCGTCGGGGTCACTGTCCCTGAGGTCCCGCAGGCGGCGGCCGCTGCCCTTGTCCCCGAGGGGCGCCGGCGGCCCCAGCAGCTCCGCGTCGCCCTTGTCCTCGGCGCCCGCCTTGCCCGCGCCCGCCTTCTGCTTCTCGGCGTCCTGCGCCGCCTGCTCCTTGGCCTTCTTGCTGCGCTTCCACTTCATGCGCCGGTTCTGGAACCAGATCTTGACCTGCAGCAGGAGGGAACGAGCAGCGGCGCCTGAGACGGGGCGCACCCAGACGGACGGACGCGCCCCCTCTCCACCGCAGCCCGGCCTCCACCTCCCGCCCGGCCACGGGGACTTCTGGGCTCTGGTTGGGGCTGGTTCGGTGTTTTTTCGTTTGCTTCCTTCCTGGGCCACACCCGGGATGCTCAGGGTTTGACTCCTGGCCGGGTTCTGGGAACCACAGGAGGTGCCGGGATGGAGCCCAGTTGCAAGGCCAGCGCCCTCCCCAGGTGGGGTGCTGGGGTTCGTGCCCCCTGCTTTGTGTTGGTTCGGTTTGGTTTTTGGGTTTCGGGTGTCCGGGTGTGGGTTGAGCCTGGGCCCCATGTCCCGGCTCTCCTTAGGGCACATTCTGGATGTGGTGGGAGGGCCCCAGCAGCCCAGGGTGCAGACTCCCAGGCCCACCCACCCAACCCCTGGGACACTCCAAGGCCGGGAGGGGCGGGCGCGGGCCGGCACCTGCGTCTCCGTGAGCATCAGCGACGTGGCCACCTCGAAGCGCTTGGGCCGAGACAGGTATTTGTTGAGCTTGAACTGGTGCTCCAGCTCCAGCAGCTGCTGGCTGGTGAAGGCCGTGCGCGGCCGGCGGCATTTCCCCAGCAGGTTGGACTGCGCCTGGGCTGTGGACAGACACAGGACTGAGCCCCAGCCTGGCCGTGGCACAGGGCATGCGCCCCTCCCAGGGGACCAAAGGCCCTAGCCACGGTGGACAGCATCTAAGGACACAGAGAGGGTGGGGGAGAGGAAGAGCGAGGAGAGAGGGAGAAAGGGAGAGGGAGAGAGGGAGCCAGAGGATGAGAGAGAGGGGAGAGGAAGAGAGAGGTAGAGAGAGAAGGAGAGAGGGAGTGAGAGAGGAAGACAGAGGGAGGGGGAGAGAGGGAAGGAGTAAGAGAGGGAGAGGAGAGGAGAGAGACGGAGAGGGGGAGAGCGAGAGAGTGAGAGGGAGAAAGAGGGATAGAGGGTGAGGGAGAGGGAGAAAGAGGGGGAGAGAGAGAGAGAAGGAGAGGAGAGGAGAGAAAGAGAGAGAGACCTCCTGCCCCAGCCACGCCCCCGACGACGGCAGGAAGGAAGCCGGAACAGAAGCGGAGAAGGCTGGCTTCAGGGCGAAGCCCAGCACCACCCCAGGCCTCCTAGCAGAGCCCCAAATCCAAACAGCACCCACCAGTACTGCTGCACAAAACAGAGGCGGATGGGTGCTGGGTCCTCGAGGCTGAGGAGGAAGGGCGGGCAGAAGAAGGGAAGAGACGAAAGAAGAAAGGGAGGAGAGGAGGGGAAGGAGGAGGAAGGAAGGATGGAAGGAGAAGGAAAGAGGGAGAGAAAGAAGGAGGGCAGGAGGGCGGAGGCCGGAGTAGCCGGCTTTCCTTGGAGACCCACGTTAAACTGCAGCTGACAGGCTGCGGGGCTGAGCCCGGCTCGGACCCTTCTCAGCCGGTTCGCACTTGGCAAATTAAAGGCCGGCCGAGGGGTGGGTGGTCCCTGTGTCCAGGGAGGGGCCTGCTCTTTTGCCACCTCCGGGCTCACATCAGAGAATTTTATGGCCTCCAGAGGAGACTTGCCTTGATTTCCCAGGAGCCCGACAAGAGTTAGACAATAAAGGGAAGAAAGGAGCGGGCGAAGCCCCCCCTGGGACGGGCAATTCGCTGGCCGGGAAGATCCACGCCCCCCGCTTTAGTTAAACAAGGCCCGAGTTCCCACCTCGCCGATCCATTAGAGCGCTAATGAAAACGCCGACCCCCGAGCGGGCCCTGGGGTGCCCCGCGGCGCCCTCGGGTGCGGCTGCCCGGCGGGGGGGGGGGGCTCCGGGCCAACGCGGGGCGACGGAGCGGAGCGCGCGCGAGCGGACCGGGGGGCGCGGGGTCCGGCGGCGCGGCGGGCCCTGGTTCGGCCCGCGGGGTCGGTGCGCCCGCGCCCGGGGAGGCCGCGCGGCGACCCCGGCCGTCCCCCCGGGTCCCGCTTCTGCGTCCCGCCCGCCGCCCCTCCCTCCGGCCGCGGGGTCGGGGCTTTGTCCGGCGCGCGGCGGGGCCCTCCTTCGCCCCAGCCGGGCACTCACAGTTGAAGTCGGGCATCTTGGGCAGGATCATGCCCGCCGTGGACGCGCGCAGCCACTGGTCCAGCTGGAAGGTGCCGGCGCCCAGCTTGAGGGGGTCGGCGGGGTGCGCGCCCGGCACCTGCGGGTACGGGTAGGCGAGCGCCGGGTGCGGGCCGGCCAGCGCGGCGGCGGCGGCCGAGTAGCCGTAGACCGGGTGTCCGTAGAGCGCGGGCTGCGCGCCCCCCGGGTGCAGCCCGAGCGCCAGGCCCCCCGCGGGCCCCCCGCCGCCCGCGAAGCCGGCCTTGGGCAGCAGCGCGCAGGGCGCGGGCAGCAGGCGCGGCGGGGACGGGCTCCGCGCGCGCGGGCGCTCGGCGGGCGGCGCGGGGGGCGGCTCGGGGGCCGCGGGGCTGCCGGCCGGCCCGGACGTGACCAGGGCCAGCGGCGCGCTCTGCGCCGGGGCCGCGCGCGGGGCGTCCACGGCCAGCAGCGCGTCGATGCGGAAATTCTTGGATTTTTCCATGGGCGCGTCGGGGCGACTGCGGCGGCCGCCCGGCTCCGGGACCGGCCTGGAGCTGCGGCCGCCGGGCCCTGCGCGCACTTGAAGCGCAGCGCGGCCGCCCATTGGCGCGCGGCCGGGAGGGGCGCGCTGGCCATTGGCCGCGCCCGTGACAGGTGCGCCGCCCCCTGCGCCGCGGGGTCCTAACGGCCGCGGGGGGCGGGGGGGGGGCGGGCCGGACGCGGCGGCCCAGGTGGGCACCCGCGCGGGGCTCGCCCCTGCGCGCCCGTTCCGGCCCGGGGGCTCCCGCACGCGCGCAGGGCCGTGGGGACAGCCCCGCTCGACGGCTGGCCCCGGACGGCCGCGCGAGGTGGCTCCCGAGACCCGGTCGCCTTCCCGCTCGACGGGCGTCGGTCCCGCTCTCCGCCCCGGGGGGCCACAGCGCAGCGGGGACCCCCAGGCCGAGTCCCCCAGCCCCGCTCCTACCAGAAGGGCGAACGGGGACCCTCCCGCGCAGCGCTGGTCAGGGGAGGGGCCCGCCGCGCTAAGATGCGAAGGTCACAGAGCGCTAGTGGAAAGGAGGACCCCTCCCTCCCTGCAGAGTCCGAGGTCGCAGTACTGGACAATACTGGACAGAGCTAGCTACGGAGGAGCCGCGTCCTGGCTGACCGTGGAGGCCTCCCGGCACTCTCCGCAGGACACAGTCCTGGTCAGCTAGGCGAGGCCACCGTCCCGCTGGGCAGAGGGGATCAGCTCCCAGAAAGTCTCCGTCCCTCCCCGGTTTTGGCTCAGCCGGTCAGAGCGGTCCTGACCCGGGGCCTGGAGTGAGAAGAGGGAGCTGCCCGCTTCTCTCGCTCTTTGGGGAGCTGGTGCAGCGAGCCGCAGGCTTTGTGGCCAGAGCTTTCTAGAATTTTCTTCCTGCCCTGGAAGGGTCTCCTGGCTTTTGAGAGCGCGGTTCGATGAGGGTCAGACCCACCAAAACCGAGCCTGAATTCTGGAGCAGGTGCCCCTCGCGGGGACAGCCCGTGGGCCCTTTCCTGCCCCAGCTTGGCTATGGAGGCGGGCAGGGGGAACCTCCCCCCACTCGCCGGTGGAAACTGTTCACCTGGGCCCAGGGGTGCAGGCTTGGCACAGCGGCCCCTGCCCTGGGGCTGCCCCTCTGCCCCTCTGTCAGTGGGGGCCACCTGCTGGGGGGGGGCAGCAGAGGGCTGGCCGCCTGTCGGGTCTGAGCGAGCTCTGGCTGGACTCCGAGCCTGGTGCTCCACATTTCGTTCCCTGTGGGGTGGGGGGGACAGGCGCCCTTCTCTGGGGGTGTTTGGAGGCTCAGCCACGTGCCCACCCCGTTCCCCGTGGCTTTGGCGGTTTGGAGGAGGAGGTTCCTGTGGCCGCATCCTGAGCTGGGGTCTTCCCTGGGCTCACCCCCCCATCCCACCTCTGCTCTCACTTCACACCTGGAACTTGCACTGGCTCGTTCTGACTGTCTCCCCTCCCCACTGGCCGGGCCTCGGCCTCACTCCTTTGCTGCAGGGTGCAGCCTCTGCCCCTCTGCCCACTGTCCTTCACTGGTGGCTGGATTCCGGCTTCCCGGAGCCCGGTGGGCTCTTCGTCCCCCCCCCATACACACACACACCTGCCCAGCTCCGGTGTGGGTGTCGGAGTGGAAAGCCTGGCCACTGGGCGGCACAGGCAAGACCCCAAGCTAGGCATCAGGTCTGGGTTGGGCTTCAGTTCCTGGGGGGTCTTGGAGCTGGCCACGTGCTGGGGGAGGGTCAGTTTCCACCCTCCCCCTCCCCAGGCGGGACCTCAGCACTGCCCTTTGATCTCTGACCTGCGGAGCCAAAACCAGGGAGGGAAGGGGGTTCAAGCTCCTGTGTGCGTATTCTGAGGCTCCCGATGGCTAAGGAAGGAAGGTCCTCCCAGGAAATCCAGGGGTAGGTGGGGGCCCCTTAACCGGTAGGTTCCTGCGGGTGGCAGGAAGGAGTGACCATCTCCACACCCAGAGGCTCCTTCCTGCAGAGACCCAGCGCCAGGTCACTGCTGTGGGTGGCCAGTGGGGTAGGGCCTCCCTGAGCCTGAGGGCGGGAAGGCAGCCTGGCCATGCTGAGCTAGCAGAGGATATGAGTGGGGGTGATGGCTCAGAGTGGGGGTGATGGGGTGGAAAGAGGAGGGGACAGGCAGGGGGACCCCACGAGGGAGTGAAGGAATGAGGGGGTGCAGGTAGGGACAGGGACCCCTGGTGGGCCCCACTCAAAGCCCTGGAGGCGGGGGCTGTGTGCAGGTGTCCCCACACCTCTCCCTCCCTGGGGCCCTGGGGCTGGAGGGACCCCATCCTGGCACCCAGGGGGGCGGCCCAGGGGATGGCCCGGATTTACAGGGGCCTCTGACAACCCAAACCCTTAGTGCCCCCATGACTGCCGGCTCTGGGGCCTCCCGTCCCAGTGGCTCTGGGAAGGGGCTTCCGCAGCTCTCCACACCCCTGCCCCTCCCCGGGTGTTCCACACCCCCACCCCTCCCTGGGAGTCTGCAGAGGCCCTGCCCAACGACCCCCCTCCTCCTCGGAGATAATTTGGCTAATGAACTCATTAAAGGGCCCCTGACGGCCACTGCCGCCCTCCCCGCAGCCATCTGGGAAATCCCGTGAAAAGCACAGCCCGGGCATCTGTCGCAGGGGGCTCTGGGTGCCCGGCCCCTGCATTACAGTGATTGCCCCCAACAGGTGGCCCTGGGCCGAGCAGGGAGGGCACTGGGGAGGGCCGTCCCCGCCTGGCCTTGGGGAGGGAGGGAGCCGGGCCGGGCGGGCGTGCTCCCTGCCTGCTCCCAGCCTGAGCCCTCTGCACCCCACTTGGGGCCCCGGCCTGAGCAGCGCAGCCGCCGGGGCGCCCGGCCAAGCCGATTGCCAAAAGCACAGATTACACTGCGACATTCTGTAAATGAGATAATGATACATAAAGCCCGTGATGGATGGGCCGCGCCCGCGATGCCTTCTCTAAATTAGCCGCCCGCATCGACTGCTAATAACGGCGACTTTATGAAAGCAATTTCAGTGCGGGGACGGCGCGAGGGGCCCCTTCCCCTAATCAGCCCGCCGGTTAATGGATGAGAGGGTCAGGCTGAGAATTATTGACACGCCGGTGCCCTTAACCTGTTTCCCAATAAAGCTGATTAGTTTTTGTCAATTCATCAGCGACCCACTCTTGCTGGAACTGCATCAAAGCCTTATTTGCTCAGGGGAAATCAACAAGTCACACGTCAGCTGTGGGCCAGGAGGGTCTGGGGCCCCGGGGCACCCCCGGGCTTCACCCCCCCCAGAGGGCTCTAGACGCTGACAGGGGGGAATCCCCAGTGGGTGGGCGAGGGGGGTGTGGTGGGTCCGAGACCCCTCTCGGGAACTCTGGGGCCTTGAGCAGACTGAGTGGGGGGGGGGGTCTGTGGGGTCCGCATCTCTGGGTGCACAGAGGGTGTCCCCAAAGTGCCTGGTCCAAGACCACCAGCCCTCTGAGATGGAAGGGGGGTCCGGGCAGAGAGCATGGGGTGCTGGCACCTACAGGTGGGGTGTTCAGTCCCTCTGCACCCCAGGGTCCCTGGGGGCGGGGGCCAGGCCCAGGGGTACGCCCTGGGGGGCCACCTAGCTCTGTCCCTTTAAGGCCTGGCCACTGGACCTGTGGGCCCATCCCCCCTCAATTTAATTTCATTAAAACAGAGCATGAATATTTCTATTAAACCTAAAATGAAATATGAAGCCATTTAGACTCTGCCTGTACCAATCACCCAGATTTATGACTTTTATTCATCACATCAAGAGCTTGGAAAAATGAATTTTCTTCACCCAGGAAGGAAATAAAACCTCAAGCGTGGTCATTTCCAGAAAGCTGTTAATTTGACCGTGTGGTAATTACTTTCACAATTAACTAAAATACAAATCAACTTGACAAATTGGGCTAGTTTATATATTAATTAGTCTGCTTAAATTTATTCATTATGAAAAGACAATTTAAGGGGACCCGCGGTGTCTGTTTTATTGCAATAAATTATTGAAAATAAGAAATGGGCCTAATAAAATATCTGAATATTTAGGAATATCGGATTCGCAGGGGGGGGTCCCTTAGCCACAGTCTCATTTTCCGATTAGCAATTTGTTGGGACGTATCAGGGAACCCCGGGCCCTGGCTATGCAGAATTCCCTGACCCGGCCGGCCGGGCGGCCGGGGAGGCGGGTTTGGGGGCCGAGCCGGCAGGGCCTGGTCTGCGCCCCCCGCGCCCCGCCGGGCTGATTTAATAGAATGTCGATAGAGCCATCGGGCGCCTTTTAGCTTGTGATCTTTATAAATGTCCCTCTATTAAATTAGAAAATGATTCTCTCCTCGTTTAATTGTATTCTTTCGTTTCTTATTTCCAATTAATTAGTCCTATCGACGTTGCAATATTTTAAGTGACTGGAGTCGGTTTCCAGTTAGAATATATGGGTCAGCACCGGCGCTTCCAGCCGCGAGCGGGCCGGGCCGGCGGCTTTTAACGCGCGCGCCTCATCCGTCTTCGCGGGGCCCCTGCGCCCGCCCGGGTCCCCCCCCCTCACGGTCCCCGCGCCCACCCGTCCTCCTGGGGTCGGTCCCGCGACCTTCTACCCCCCCCTTGGGGTTCTCAGGGCCTTCCACCCCCCACCCCCCCCCCGCGGATGATGGTGGTCCCCCGGACCAGACCCCTCCTTGCCCTGCTCCTTGAGGGGTCCCTCTCCGTGGGGACCTGGGCTGCGGGGAGGGAGCCTCAGGCCCCAGCTAAGGGTGGGCTCATTCCGGAGGGAAGTTGATGGACACAGGGCCTCCCTGGGGACAGCAGCTGGTGAGGACCTCAGGGCTGGGCCTTGGGGTGGGGACACTGAGCGGGACCTTCGGCTTGGGGGCACCACACACCCCCGCGACCCCCCCTCCAGTCCCCAACCTTGCCCCCCACTTCCTCCTGAAAGTCTCTGAGCAAAAGGGAAGTGGAGACCTGGGGGGCCTCACTGCATGGGGCAGAGGTGGGGCTTT